TGGAGCCCAATTGAATGCATTTTTGACATGTTTCCAAGGAAAACTCAACATCTTCAGCACTTTGTTCCGACCACGCATAACTCATATCACTGACCGGACGACAATGAATGCTTATAATTCTCTTCACGAGTTCTTCGACTTTTTTGGGATCATCGTATGTTCCGCTATAATAAAACCAAATCAGAAAAACAGATTTGAAAAATCATGAACCTTTAAAAAAACTTACATTTTCTCATCAATCTTTTGGATAAAGGTTTAGGTACAGTCCATTGCGCAACAAAGATGGCATTTTGAAAGGTTGCCTAGCGATAGTTATATCATTAATCCAGTCATAGAGAATCCAAACGTTTTCCTTAATTGCCAAATTTAAATCCTGTTGAGCGGTGTTTCATAGAGCTTGCATCTTGCAGAAAAACCCGCAAATTGCTCGCTGAAAAAGGAGAATTTTGGAAAATTGAAGCAAACCTACAGAACATAAATCATGGAAACCCAGCTTTTAACAGAGAGAAGTTGTTCGAGAACATTTTGTATTCCTAAATAATCCAGAGCAAGAAAATTGAACGGCATTCTGACAAACTCTGAAAGTATTATTTTAAATTCTTGATAAAAATTGGAACTTGAAGAAAAAAATAAGACACAAAAAATGCGCCAACATGTTGTTTTGCGCACGATGCGTGCAAATGCATAATAACATATGGAAGTAGGAAAAGCAGAGACTCGCTTGACGCGGTACGCGTGTTTCCATATGTAAAAATTTTGAGTGTTTTTATTCAGCTGTTTTTTTCAATAAAACTACTACCTAACTTGAGTTTTTTCAGAAACAAATGATTGGGATAATAGAATACTATACTGCAACAGTGAGACTTGAACAACGGAGGGATGAATTGAGTTAAATGGAACGATCAGATTATTTTACGACAAATAATTGAAATTAACACAAACGAAAAGTGTATCTTTATAAACTGTTGTTGCACTTTTTCTGATAATTGGAACGCGCGTTTCGCGGATTCGGAAAATCAAAAAATCTACAAAAATAGAATGAAAGTGAAGTTTCAGCGAGAGAAGAGAAATCAACGAGACTTGTGAGTTTTTTTCGGAAACATTTATTGGCATATTTAAAAAAAAAGGAATCGTCATGTACCATCAAAACGGAACATGTCCGACCGGGTCAAAATCAGATTTGTGAGCTCAAACACATACCAAAATGTAGATCTCGGTGAGCTACAAGCCCGACAACATGAGATCATCGTTCCATCTAATCTGCACGGTACCGGCCAAATTGTCCGGGCCCGTGCTGGTGGGCTTGTGCTCGTTCAACTCAGGTTTGTCGAACGGTGACTTTGAGCATTCAGGCATGTTGAACTCACCGATGTCTACATTTTTTAATTGATTCAAGCTGACCATTTTTTTCCGAATAAAGTTATTGCAAGGCTCGCCCCGGTCCCCGCGGGTCCTCTTGGACATGTACAACCAAAATTATACGTCGTGATGTTTATATGTGGTCCAACAGCTATGTTAGAACAAATATCGGAATGAACAAGTTAAGTTACCCGCTTCTACAAATCAGCTCAATGTCATTTTTGTAAGAATATAATCCGACAAAACACAATTTCATTCTAATACATTCTCAAATTCAAACAAATCAGTTTCAAAGAAAAATGTTCTATGATTATCTATTCAGGCTACCGGAGCTGTTCAACAACCATCTTCATGAAAATCATGATGCCTATCGAAGAGCACAATGGGTATTCTCGAAATTCTAAATGACTCTGATTAGGACCCGACTCTAGCTACCGCAGTTGCAAGGCAAAACTTCACTTCAATCGAACGATACACGCATTCACAGCAGCAACTTGGTCAACTCAAGTCTGAAGTTTTTCTTTCAAAAATCCACTCATCATATCATCAGTAATAATTTGTTTTCGGATGATGACAATGGATCTCATCCAATAAAATCAATCTTTCTCATGAACTCATTTCTGCCAGTCTTATTGCATTTGAATGTTAGTCGGGTTTCAAGCAGACAATTACTGACCAAACAATTCTTCCCACCAAAAACTGCTAACTTCTGAACTTTTGTTTGTTGATGATGGTGTGAAATGGCTCAGATGAGTTTTGTTGAATAAACCTTCACTCATGATTTCCGGAATACATTGTACATTTTTTTTCTGAAGGTTCCTGACTCTCGAGAATAGCAGGGCTACTACATTATTTGCACCCGTACATATTTTCTTCGAGACCCAGAACAAAAGATGTCGTCATTCCTATTGTGTTTGCTAATTGCTGTCGAGGCAAAACGTTTTCATGTCATCAAGTGATTCTCAATCTGTCAATTGATCTTATCGTAACTCATTATCGAATCCATTATTCTGAACAGATAATCTCACCTGTCAGGAATATAGATCTACGTATAATTGAAGCCACCTTGATTGATGGTCTAATTGAGTTTTTTCGTGATGGTTTGATAGAAAATGTCAATCGTTCATTGTCCTTCAGCTTCAGATCTGAATGGGCCGCGACATCTGTATTTCCCTCGTTCACACCACAAAACCCATTTCTTCACCCCATTAAATAAACGATTTTTAATGATACAGCATTAGGAAAGACAGAAGCAGATGTTCACCATAATTCCGGAGTATTGGCAGTTGCTGACCAGATGCGTGGAACGTTGAGGTACAAAGGATAATACCGCCCGCCGGTTAAGCACTCATTGCATGACCTGGCCATTAATTAAACATTGGAGCGTTCGAGATGGAGTCGTACTGCTTCTTATCTTGTTCAAATATCTGTTTTGGCCTACTTTTGTTACGTCATCCGTTTTGCCCTTTTACTGCCTCAACAGAAATTTCTTCCGTCTTCCCGTTTTCTCTGCACCCTCCCATTCTTCCCACTCTTTTTGTAAGCAACTGCTGTCCGGAAAAAGAGAAATCGACTGCTATCGCTATCTCCATTTTTCGGAATTTTGCGGCGCCGCGAGTTTTCTCCGATCGATGTGTAGATAGACCACTGGGCACGAGGAGGAGAAGTAGAGCAGAAACAGAGCTTTCGTCCGTTTTTGAATGTACAAAGCCGTGCCAGGCGAGAGACTACACGGCGACAGGAGAGCTGGGGGAAGAAAAACGGCCAACGAGGCAGAATGGGAGGGGCCAGAGGGTGGTCTGCCTCCCCGTTTTGTCCCGAAAGACCTTCATTCGTTCGTATTACCACCCTTCTGCCCGACGAATCTCGAATGTTCTGAACATTCATTGTATATGTGAGTTTGATTTATCATAGCAATAAGTTTCACCTAATGTTTTCTTTTCAGATAAATCATGTAACCTCTTCATACATCTACTCACTTCACACCTTCTCTAGCCACCTCATAGTTTTTTGCGGCTCTTCTTTCAAGATGCTGGCCAATTGTAAATATTGTACTGGTAAATTCAAATTGTTTAGTATTTTAGCAATTTCATGTTTATTTTTCAGAAACACCTCTCTCTTCTCACCCTTGACTACCTGGAATTCGTGGTCTGTGACGCCGAGGCTGATTTTTTTGAGTTTTTTTTTTTGAATTTTTTTTTATATCTTTTGTAATTAACTTAAATAATTTAAATAACTTAAAAAATTAAAAAATATTGACGACAAATTAGTTTAGTTAGTTTAGTTTTTTTAGAATAGTGCTACCACCGTAGCACTATGTAGGTCTATCCTGTAAATATTTTTTTTGTAAATAGTAATTTTAGTTTTAAATAGTGCTACTACCGTAGCACTATGTAGTTCTATCATGTAAATATTTTTGTAAATAATAGTTTGAGTCTTCAAACTTGTGCTACCACCGTAGCACTATGTTAGTCTATCATGTATATATTTTTTGTAAATAATAATTTTAGTTTTTTATAGTGCTACTACCGTAGCACTATGTAGTTCTATCATGTATATAGTTTATGTAAATAGTTGTAATTAGTTGTTATGTAAGTATTTGAGTTTTGAGGTTTAACGAAATTCTCGCTTGTTAAGTTTTTTGTTATTTTTTTTTTTGTTATTAGACTCACCTAATACAAATTAAGGGTTCATGTAAATAAAGTATTTTTTTTAAACCTTGTTGTTTTTTCTTTGATTTTCAGCGGTATGAGTTGATGAAAGGATATTTCCTAATTGAATACTGTTGGGTTTTTCGTCACGTTTCAGATTTTTCAGATTACGGATGGTTTCAGTGAACTAGTCACAAGATTGGAGGTTAAGCATTGGGATGGGCTCCGTCACTGTTGATTGACATTGACGTCCAATTGATGTGAAGGATAGAAATAAAGACGATGCACAATTCACTAGTTTAACAATTGTGAAAAATCCGGATGAAAACTAGTACACGTTGTCTTGGATGTTCAGTTCTGAATGTCTCCGTGGTTTGATAAATTCGCTTTGAAAATGACGTTTTGGTGCAGATCTGTTCTCAACACAAGTAATTGGATACGTTTTCGAAGGATATCGGAATTGAATGAACGGAAAAAGGCTCACAGATTGGAGATTTTGAGGAAGCAACAAAAAATATTCAGTTTGAACGTAGAATAAGATCAGGAAAAGGAAAAGAAAACAGCTAATCGGGAAGAACTCATTTTGTGAAGTATTGAAATATAAATTGATTGAAACAACTGGAGAAAAACGAAGAAATAATGAGATATTCAAGTTTGGGAAGAAATATTTGATGTTGAAAAAATAGAGAAGAAAACAGCGGTCCTTTCGGTTATATAGCCACTTCTGAGATTTCTGTTTCTTTTCCGCCTTCGAAATTCAGATATAGTAACTTTTTTGGTAGATGAGTTTCGAATCTGTGGACTGTTAAGATTAGGGTGTATGTTGAAATCAGTTTTCTCATGTTTTGGGGTTAGTTTTGGAGGAAATCTTTTCTGCATGCCACGCTGAGTGTCTCCGTAGACTGTCTCTAATGACTAATATAAACTGGAATGCCAATCAAAGCTTTTCCGATAGAATGTGGAGACAAAAGATGTTTGAATTGCCCGTCAGGTTCCATGGTGTAGCGGTTAGCACTCAGGACTTTGAATCCTGCGACCCGAGTTCAAATCTCGGTGGAACCTATCGTTTTTGGAAATTTTCATAATTGGTTATGATAACATGTTTTCTTTTCCAGGAATGAATTCCTTCCTCCGATACTTCTGAAAAAAAAATTGAAAACTTTCGGCCTGTGAACTAATGGGCTAGCTGTTGAGGTAGCGGTATGTTGAACCAGGTGTTTCCGCGAACTGCCGATAAGGACAACAATAGACTGGACTGTCTATCAAAGCTTGTTCTTGGGAATGTGTAGACTATTGGTTTATGCTTTGATCGCAAGGTTCCATGGTGTAGCGGTTAGCACTCAGGACTTTGAATCCTGCGACCCGAGTTCAAATCTCGGTGGAACCTATATTTTTTCTGTTCAATTGTAACAAAAATTGAGCAGCAACTGGAATCGGATGATTAATTTCTTTTTGTTCCAAATTCACAAATCTCCTGAGCATTGAACATCCAAACGCCTAGTCCTAACAAAAAAACCCGGGAATTTTCGACCATAGTAGAGGTGGTACAGTTTTATGACAAGAACATTCCACTGTTCTCAATCTTCGGGTACATTCACAGTCCTGGTATTTCCCTTTCCGTTGATCCGTTCGCTTTTGAAGAGCTATTCAACTGAAACTGGTTATTTGGGAGGTTTGTTTCATTCTTTTTGAACACAAATCGGGTTCATTTGCTTCTTCTCTTTGTCAGAACTATCACTCATCTTTTCATATTTTTGCTCAATGCGATCCCTCTTTCTTTCTTCAATTTCTATAGTCTCTCCCAACATTGATTTTACTCCGAATTTTCTAGGAACTGCGAGGTCGTGCTAGCCGAGGCACTACGTACCAATGCGATAAAACGAGAAAGGAAACACAAAGGAAATAGTATAGGGGAGGAATGGAAAGGTGCTGTTTCCACGTCTTTACTGAGAGGCCACCAAATAGTTCAGTTCATTCTATCATTGTGATGACAGCCGAGTCTATCGAATGTTCTAAGCGTTCAATGTAAATGTGAGTTTAACCGAAATTACTATTTTCTGTTACCTTCTTCTTTCTTTCAGATATTTCTTATAAACACTTCATATCTACTCTACCCATATCTATTCACTTCATATGTCTGCTATATTCACCTCATAGATGGCTGCCCCGCATTATTCGAAAAATGGTGGCTGATTGTATATATTGTACAGGTAAATTGAAAATATTCAGGTTTCTTTTATTCTGATTGTTATTTTTCAGATAAACCTTCACTCACTTCTGACTACCTGGTATTCGTGGTCTGTGACACCAAGGCTGATTTTCTTTAATTTTATTTTCATTCTTATATTATTTCAATTTACGTTGAATTTTTAAAATGACAGCTCGATAAAATTTAGGAAGTAGTTGTAATATAGGATAGGATCGGGGAATTGGGTGGCTGGATTCAATTTAGTTTTGTAGTTTTAATGTGGAATATTTGTATTAGCCCATTATAGATGTATATAGGTTAGTGAATTTGTATATAAGTATAGATTAAATATGTTGTAAATACTGCTAGGCTATTCGATTAGAACTTTTTTTTGTGAATATATTGATTTTATTAGTTGTTTTTGTTAGAAGACAGTTGATGGGAGAGTTACTGCAGAATTGTAAATAATTGTTATTTGTTTTAATTGTATTCGCCATTTCTCTTTATTTTGAATAAATCTTCTGAAATCTAACTAACCTGTTTTGGATTCTCTGATCACTCACAACAATTTAGTTGAACGAAAGAGTATCCCTTTTCCGGTTTTTCAATAGCACCTATAAGACTAAATGAATGTGATTAAGTAGGATCTTCTTGTTATTGATAACTGCTGTAATTGTGTTCAAATTGTTTTTCTAGTGCGATGGGTCACTGTCAAATAAACTGAAGATGAAGTTCTTGCAGGTCCGGTCCCAGAGCCGATAATTATGGACTTTTTTTTTCAAAATGACAAGCACTTCAATGATTGAAATGAAAAAAATTCAGAAGAAAAACACAATGCACTGCGGATTTCGATCCAGACTGAGTATGAATTGGAGACACTGAACAAAGATATATCTCTGCTGAATCTAAAGACCACAATCTGAGAAGGTGAGATTGTGTGAAGCTGGGAGAAAAAATACGATTACGAATTCAACAGGTTGGTGAAGGCGGTAAAACAGCTGAGGCTTGAGCTGACCAATACTGAAAGGTTGATTAGTCCTGAAAACAACGCGAAAAATGAAGAAAAACTGAAAATAGCCGAGAAAACTGAAAATCATCTCGGAACACCCAAGAGAAGTTAAGCAGGGGTAGCATCTTGTATTACAAGTTTTGTTAATAGCCACGTTTCCTTTGAAGACATTCTTCTTGCTCCGTGTTGCAGGTCGGAAGCGTAAATTCAGATGCGCTTATCTCAAGAACATGCAAAAATGAAAGTTTTGAATACGTTTTTAAGAATATCAAAAGTCTTTCGATTTCATTAAACTCCCATCAAGATAAAGATATCAGTTTTCCAGCATTTGTTTTTCTTTAACTTCTGTCTTCAGATCACTTGAACTTTCCTCTTCTTTCTAAACTGAATATCATGATAATCTTATCACCATTCTTCAATACAGTGATAATTTCTCTATATCGTTCGATTGCATCATGTGAACACTTCTCTTCTTCTCCGATATTTTCCTATTCTCTCCGACCAGCACGGCACTAAAAGTGCTAGGTCTGCCTTCCACGTACTCGGTTGTGTCGGGCAGTTGCCTGCATAATAGTGAGATGGAAGCAGACACACAGCAAAACGAGAGAGAGTGTACAAGAAAGCGGAGGGTGCTGGCTGTCTTTTCTCCATTTCGATTGGCCACTCACTCGCTCCTTCCTTCTTTTCGGTGACGGACTACTCTTCTCGAATGTCTTTAGCATTCATTGTAAATGTGAGTTTCATAAGCGATTCTATTTGTAATTTCACCTTTGTTTTACAGAAAATGTTATCTTCTTACAACCGTCACCTGTTCAGTATAGAGAAGAAGAAGGATAAAAAGGAAAGAGACACCGGCCTTCGTTTTTTTGCCAGTAAGTAAGTTTGTTATTTCATAATCAATTTATCCTCTTAACCCAAACTCCTATTTTCAGATAGTATATATAATCACTTCACACCAATACTCATATTTTGTTACTTCAATTAGCCGCTTCATACCTGCCAATGTGAACTCGTCCTGCCTCATACTCTATCCACGTCATGCCTACTCTCGCCGAACCGATTGCTTCTCATGTATATATTGTATAGGTAAACTACCAACTCTCAAATACTCATTATTGTACTAATTATCGGTTTTCAGCTACCTCTCTGCCCACTTCTGACTACCCGGAATTCGTGGTCTTTGGCGCCGAGGATGATTATTTTGAGTTTTTTTTTTTCAAATTATTTTTTATATCTTTTGTAATTAACTTAAATTATTTTGAAGACTATGACATTTAAAAAATTAAAAAATATTTAGGACAAATTAGTTTAGTTAGTTTAGTTTTTTTTAATAGTGCTACTACCGTTGCACTATGTAAGTCTATCGTGTAAATATTTTTTGTAAATAGTTTCTTTTAGGTTTTCAAAAAATGTAAATAATTGTAGTTTAGAAGTTTTTTGTATATTAAATTCTAGATTTTATAAGTAGATTTTCATTCACTGCTCAACCTTTTGACAGTTTAGTTTAGTTTTTTTTGTTGTATATATTCTAGTTTTAGTTTTTGTTAGTAGATTTTCATTCACTGCTCAACCTCTTGACAGTTTAGTTTAGTTTTTTTTGTATATATTCTAGTTTTAGATTTTGTAAGTAGGTTTTCATTCACTGCTCAACCTTTTGACAGTTTAGTTTAGTTTTTTAGTTCTCTCGTAATATAAACATTTCATAATATCTTCTTTTGTATATAATGTATATTTTTATCGGTTGGTTGCTTTGAATGAATATTTATTGTTTATAAATGTTTCTGACTCATTGAATTATTGAAACCAGTCATCCTGGTTCAATACTTTCAGATGCCCGGTTTCTTCAACGCGCTCTACAACTAGATTGATTAATGGAGTAGTATTCGAGCTCAACGACTTCGAAAAACTTCATATTAGAAAAAACTGCTGATTACTACATTGCCAGTTCATCAGAACGTAGGAATTTGAATTGATAACTTACAATTGATTAAACTTCTTGAAGTTTTTGTAATACGTTAGATTTCAGATCTTATTACAGTGTAGCTTATTTGTGAATGACTTTGTATTCAAATTGTTGAACATGAAAAACTACAGTGCATTACTATGAAGATATCTTCAAACTTTTGAATTTTGTTGGAATGGAATACGACACAATTCAACGCAATCATGGAATACAGCGCATGACAAACGAGGTTGTATTTGTTCTGGATACTACTGCATTTCAGCTTTTTCTCAGCATTCAAAAGCTCGAAAATTCAACGTTTCGAAATCATTGTTCGAATTGATTTCAAAAAGAATTTAGTTTTTCTGCTTCAGAATGTCAATACTTCTCATGCCCACACATGGGAACACGGCAGACTCAAAGGAACCGACATGGGAATCTCTCAGATTCCTGATAGAAACTATTATAGAACGGATCCTTGAGAGACTGTTTCAGTTTTTGTCTCTTCTTTCCTTGGATTGTTTTCCATTTCTTTCCAGTTTTCATAATCCACGATAGATGTCAGTGATAAATTGCAGCTCCCATCAACTATTGAATTGAATCATAAGATCCTTTTGTTTGTGAACAATCTGAGTTTCTAATCTTCGTTCCTTCAGGTTTGAAATCATCTTTGCGTTACATTCACACACAATTTTGAAGTTTTTTCTTTTGCAAGACTTTCCCATACTGTCCGCCCACCTTTTTTTGGGTTTCCCACCATAAACTTTGCTTTTTGCATGTTTTCCAGAGGCTCCCATGATATTCTGCCCTCACCTTTCTCTAATCGAATCAGCATCTTCTACATAAAAAGGCGTCCTGACACAGTTCAAAGCACCTTGCTCTCTTTTTCTTCTCTGTTTTTGAAATGTGATATGTGCTCTATT